GAAGAGCGGCGGGGGCGGAGGAGGGGCAGAGCGGTAGGGGAAGAGATGGTAAAAGGGAACCGACCCGTCAAACGTGACGTCCTGAGAAGGGAAGACACGGCGCGAGGTGGGGTGGTAAAACTGCCAGCCATGCGCGTCACGGACAAAGCCAAGGAAGACGCAGGGGATAGCACGGGAGGAGAGCTTGTCCGCGGATGTATCGTGAACAAAGGCACGAGATCCCCAGACCCGGAACACCGATGCATCGCCAACCTCCCCCATCCAACGCAGTGTGAGCGAGGTCTCCGGCAAGGAGACACGAGGCCAGAGGTTGAGCTGATGCGCAGCATACCGGATCACAAACAGCCACAGAAAATGGGGAGCAGCTGCATGGATCATGGAGGTACGAGCGACCTCCATGACTAAGCCAATGCGGCACTCAGCAATCCCATTTTGCTGAGGGGAGTCTGGAAGCGTGAACGACTGGAGAATGCCCTCCCCACGACAAAAGTCCCGCAAGAGGTTGGAGGAGAACTCACCACCTGTGTCAGAGTGCAGACGCAGGACAGGAAGGTCCTGGCCGAAACGCTCGCGGAGCTGGAGATGGACTGTGCGGATCCAATGGATCAAGACATCAACGACCTGACCCTTGCTGCGCAAGGGGAGGACCGTGGTGTACCAAGTGTAATCGTCAACGACCAGCAGAAAGTAGTGCTCGCGGCTCTGTCCACTGACGCGGGCTGGGCCCCACATGTCCATGTGGAGAGTCTGCAGGGGAGCAGTCGTCGGGGGAAACGAGGAGGAGTGAGGAGCGGCGCGCTGCCGCCCCTTGACGCAAGGAAGGCAGGGCGGGGCAGGCGAGGGCGGCAGGGGAGGCAGGGACCTGGGAAGACCAGAGACAAGAAGACAAGAGTGCATGCCACGAAGGCGTGGCAGGGAGGAGTGACCCAGGCGGTGGTGCCACAGAAGAGTCTGGTGCGACAGGAGGTGACACGAGCAAGAGGCGGCAACCTGACTTGACGTGGACACCTGAGCAGACGCAGCTACCTGAGAAGGCTCAGTAGCGAGTGTGTACAGACTCGACCCTGGCCGACGAGTGAACGTGGCTAGGTGACGCCCCGTCCGTGTGCACATGCACATCGACACACGCTGACCCCCAGGAGTGGTGGTAGTGACCATCGCATCCTGGAGGGCAGCGGTACTCACCAAGTTTGCAGAGAACGAGGGGAGGTGAAGACCGGAAAGTGAGCCAAACAGAACCGCCAGACACGGGAGGACAGTGGAGGAACGGGCTACGACCGGGCCCCCAGAGGGGTCAGCCAGTCGGACCGGGACAGGTGTAGAGAGGGGAGTGAGAGTGGTGCTGCCACGAAAGAAATAGCGCGAGGCGCCTGAGTCCAGCGTGAAGGTGTGCAAGGCCTGAGCAGGCGCAGTACCAGGGAGAGTACCAGACTCACTAGCACCTAGAGTAGCAGCAGATATACATGGGTCAGGCGGCACACACCGGTAACAGTCGCCCTTAGCACTAGCAGACAAAGCATACATAGCAGAAAGAATAGCATCAAAGTCTAGGTCAAAGATAGCAATCCTAGACCTAAGCAGATCTGCCCAGCGAGGGAGCTTGACGTCGTCACCAAACTCAGCACGCCAAGCGTCGTCGAGGCGGGAGAAGCAGGGGTGCTGAGTGTGAAGCCGCCCGCAAGTCTGACCAGCACGGTCACCCGTGCGAATGACATACGGGCAACTACCCCCAGACGCCCCACGCAAAAACCACTCACGAAGCTACTGGGGCGACCGGGTCTCGCTCTGGCGCTGCTGCTGCTGACGCTGGCAACCTCCAGAACCAACACGCCGAGCTCCAGTCCCACCACCACCAGTCCCAATGCCGCCACTGCCACCACTCCCACCGCTACCTCCACCGCCGCCACCAGAGCCCCCACTCCCTCCACCAGTCCCACCGCCGCTACCACCTCCACTGCTGCCCCCACCACTGCTCCCGCTGCCACCTCCACCACCGCCGCTGCCACCTCCACCACCCTTGCCACCCTTTCCCTTGCCGCTGCGGCGCTTCGCACTAGCAGAAGCAGCCCCGACGTCCTCAGCACTAGAGACACCAGCAGCAGCAGCAGCAGAGGCGTAGGAGGGGGCAAGGGGGGAGGGGGAGCAACCCTCAAAGAAGGGCGGGCGCGGAGTGCCACGAGCAGCACCTACAGCAACTGCACTAGTCTCAGCTGCGAGGAGATGCTGTTCGAGGAGGTCAACAGTGAGGGAGGTGGGGTCAAGAGAGAGGAAGTGGTCCCTGACAGAGCGAAGAGAGTCAGGGAGGCGGGTGACTATGAAGTAGAGGGTGATGAACATCGGGGGCTGGTTCTTGTCAAGAAACTCAGCAGGGATGGCAGTGCGGTAGCGAGCGTCGCTAGCACGAATGTGGGAAATGAGGTCCTCGACTGTGGCAAAGGCAGACAGCTCAGGGAACAGGTAGGCAGAAGCAGGCGACCTAGAGCAGCAGTAGCAGGGGAGGAGTAGCGAGCGACTACAGCGTCGTACAGTGCCCGTGCGGTCCTGTGCTGTCCGAAGTGAGCGCATTCGGCTAACGGCAGGTGGTTGCGAATGGCTAAGTGGGCAGCAGCGTCGCGAGAAAGCCACTGGGAGCGAGTCTCACTGTCAGGTGTGGTGGGAGGGGCAGTAGCGGCACCGGACACGTGGTCAAACAGGGAAACACCGTCCTTAATATCGCTCAGTAGGTACAGCTGTAGGTCGTCGAGCCACGTGTCAAACTGAACCGGTCTACCCTCATGATCGAATGCGAGAACTCAAAGCGAGGCCATAGTGGCACAGTATGCAGGAGCAGCTGTAGCAGCAGTAGCAGTCAAGGGGCCTAGGGGCCTGGGACCTAGGGGCCGAGGGGCCAAACACGAGGGGCCAAGGGTCCAAGGGGGCAATGGTGCCTAGGGGCGAGGGGCCGAGGGGCCAAGGGGCCAAACAAGAGGGGCCAAGGGGCCGAGGGGCCTAGGAGCCGAGGAGCCGAGGGGCCGAGGGGTGACTGTCCGCGGGGCCAGGTACACAAGGGGCCAAGGGGCCGTGGGGCCAAATACGAGGGGCCAAGGGGGGGCCTTGGTGCCTAGGGACGAGGGGCCGAGGGCCCTAGGGCCTAGGGTGGAGGGGTCGAGCTAGGGGCGACGGGGCCGACGGGGCCAAGGGGCCGAGGTAACGGGCCAAGGGGCCAAGGCGACAGGGCCGAGGGGCCGAGCTAGGGGTGACGGGGCCGACGGGGCCAAGGGGCCGAGCTATGGGCGACCGGGTCGACGGGGCCAAGGGGCCGAGGCGACGGGGCTGAGGGGCCGAGCTAGGGGCGACGGGCCCGAGGGGCCGAGCTAGGGGCGACGGGGCCGACAGGGTCGCGGCGCCGAGCTAGGGGCGATGGGGTCGACGGGGCCAAGGGGCCGAGGCGACGGGGCTGACGGGGTCGCGGCTAGGGGCGACGGGGGCCGAGCTAGGGGCGACGAGGCCGACGGGGCCGAGGGGCGCGGCTAGGGGTGACGGAGTCGACGGGGCCAAGGGGCCGAGGCGACGGGGCCGAGCTAGGGGCGCGGCTAGGGGCGACGGGGTCGACGGGGCCAAGGGGCCGAGGCGACGGGGCCGAGTTAGGGGCGACGGGGCCGACGGGGCCGAGGGGCCGAGCTAGGGGCGACGGGGTCGACGGGGCCAAGGGGCGCGGCTAGGGGCGACGGGGTCGACGGGGCCAAGGTGCCGAGGCGACGGGGCCGAGCTAGGGGCGACGGGGCCGACGGGGCCAAGGGGCCGAGCTAGGGGCGACGGGGTCGACAGGGCCAAGGGGCGCGGCTAGGGGCGACGGGGTCGAAGGGGCCAAGGGGCCGAGGCGACGGGGCCGAGCTAGGGGCGACGGGGCCAACGGGGCCGAGGGGCCAAGCTAGGGGCGACGGGGGTCGACGGGGCCAAGGGGCCGAGGCGACGGGGCCGACGGAGTCGCAGCTAGGGGCGACGGGGGCCGAGCTAGGGGCGCGGCTAGGGGCGACGGGGTCGACGGGGCCAAGGGGCCGAGCTAGGGTCGACGGGGCCAAGGGGCCGATCTAGGGGCGACGCCAAGGGGCGATGGGCCGGGCTAGGGGTGGCTACGGGCCGGGGCCTAGGGGCAACGGGCGCGGGCCTAGGCTAGCAGGGCAGTAGGTGGTGGGCCCAAAAACAAATCGGTCCTAGGGGACCTGCTCTGAAACCATGTTGAATGTTGTGAACGAGAATGAATGAACTAGCAAAGAGTTGGGTACAAGTACTAACCCTAATTGGGTTATACCCCTTATGGGCTACCCCACTATAGCCTACACAAATGTAAAAGCTATAATGTTCTGACACTAGTGACTCATTTTGAGTGTATGTGATGGCAGGGAATCTTTCCCTGCCAAGTAGCGAGAGTTTTTCACCCACAACCCTGTTTCAAATCGACCCGATTGGGTGCGCAATGATGCGAACAACGTTTTCGTGCTAGTAGTTTAAAATTGTTTATTTGTTATTTTATAAGCGCATGCGTTTATATTTTTTACTCAATTATAAGCGCACCCTCCTGAAAAAACATGTTTTATTATAAGCGCAGGTGCGCTTATATCCGGGGTGATACGGTATAAGGTTGGATTAGGGTAGGAGAGAGTTGAAAAAAGAAACTAAGGGCATTACGGTTTAGGTTGGAGTTTAGCAAGGCAAAATTGGATATCCACCAGATCTGCACCAAGCCTAACTAAATCTCTTGTAGGGCTATAGGGAACATGACATCGCTTCTAGTACACTTGCCCTGCCTGAATGTGACTATACTGAAAGAACCCCCCCAGGCAAACTGTTCGAGTTCGGGTCAAACACCTTAGTGTTCGGCCTTGCCTCAAAACTGTTCGACCCTATACCCGAACGGGGAACACTGACATTTAGGAAAACTGTTGGAGTCAAACGTGTTCAATTCGGTTCGAATTGACCAAGTGTTCGCAAACTGTTCAAGACAAACGTGTTCGGTTCGCTCATTGCTCATGTCTAGCCCTTTCTCTGTCCTCCTCCCTCTCCTCCCTTTTCTCCTCCCACTTCTCCTCCCCTTCACCCTCATCTCCCTCACTCTCCACATCAGGAGCATCCCACTTCCTCTCACCACTCCCCTCCTTCCTTCTCCCTGTCCTCCCCCCGTCCTTGCCCCATCCCATGCTACTCACACCGACCTCCAACCCCCTCTCGCTCACACTCCAGTCGCCGCACCCCCCGCTGTAACTCCCTCTCCTCCGTCTCCCACACCCCCCCTCCCCTTGCGGCCTTTGGACCCAAGTGCCCCTGGGTGACTCCACTCACCACCTGCCCCTCCCGCTTCTCCGCCTCCCACACTCCCCCTCCTCCCCAAGGGGGAGGTGTGTGTTTGGGCAGAGGGAGACGACAATGGGGCAGGAATATGGATAAAATTAGGAAGGAATGGGAAAAAGTGATGGGGCAGAGGGAAAATACCACAGGGGAGGAGGGGTGCACGTGAGAAGATTGAGGAACGGGGGTAGGGAGATGCCATAACAAGTGGAGGAGGGATGAAATGGATGAGATTGAGCCATGAGTCATGGATGAAATAGTCCGGGTCGCCATGAGTGAGGGCGTGAGGGAAGGGATGGGAAGGGCTGAAAAAGTGCTGGATGCGGCAGGAGGAGGGCGTAAGGGAAGGGACGCCATGATTGGGTCGACTCCGCAATCGCTATGCGCGATGTGGTGCTGGAATCCACAAAGAGGGCAGAGGAGTGCGGGCGCAAGGAGACGGGCGTGTGGCGGTGGCATTAGGAGGTTAGCAGCAATAAGTTTCAGGTTTTAGAGAACCAACTAGTCTCAGCAGGAGGGTTACCGAGGGAACATAGCAGTCGTGCCACCAGGACGCCATGCCTCTCAGTGTTGCACCCACACGCCCCACACACCCTGTGCTGCCTCCCCCCACTGCCCTCGTTGCTGCTGCCCCTCTCCTCGTGCAGAAAGGTAAACAAACGCCCCGCTCGGACCCACTCCTCTTGCTCTTCATGCTTCACTTGATCCCGTTCCTCTCTCCCGCACACCTGCTGCCCCTCCTCCATCTCCTGCCCCTTATGCCCCTCCTACCCCTCCTGCTCCTCTCGCTCCCACTCGTCCTCATCATCCCATCCACACCCATCATCGCCTTCCAATCCAACCACTCATCTCCACTCGCCTTGTCTCCACTGCCCCCCCATTCCCTCCTCCTTGCACTTCTCAGTTCACTGCTCTCTGCCCTCCCTTCCCCCTCCCTCTCACTCTCACCACTCCCTTCCATGCTCACACCATTCCCTCGCTCACACTCACCCCCTTTGGTCATCACGTCTCACCTCCCAGCCTCCCAACCCCACCTTCCAGCACCCCTCCACCACACCCCTCTCCCCCACACGCTCCTCCTCCCTCAACGCCTCAACCACATGCCGCCACCACCCCTTCCCCCCACCCAAATGCTCCTCTGCACACTCCTCCCTGAATCCCTCTTCCTCCGCAATCCTTTCTGCCTCTCTCTCATCTCCTCCCTCTTCTTTCTCCGCCTTATTCCCTTCATTCTCCTCTTCCTGCATCTCACACTCTTCCACCTCCTCCCTCTCTCCCACCACCAAACGCTTCTTCCTCCTTTCTTTCACACAACACATCACACCAGCACACCCCCTACCATCGCCCTCCCTTGAAGCACGAACATCCATTCTACCCGCTGCCGCCCTCCACCCTCTCCCACCCGCACTAGCTTCCATTTCTTCCTGCTGCCACCCTACCTGCTGCCGCCCTGCCTGTTGCCGCCCAGGCCTGTGGCCGGGGCAGGGCAAGGCCGCCCCTCCCTCAGACACATGTGCTGGCAGCGGCAGGGCGGGGGGCACACAGGCAGCAGACGCACGGAATGCACTGCTGATAGCTGAGGAGGGGGGTGGAATGGAAAAGGGAGGGGGGAGGGAAGGTGGTGGTGGTGGGGGGGAAGGGGGAGTGGCGGATGGAAAGGGAAGTGATGAAAAAGGGGCAGCAGGAACAAGGGGTGCACTGCTGCTAGCTGGGGAAGAGGGTGGGAGAGGAACACGGGACACGGGGAGTGTGGGAGGGGGATGGGCTGATGGGGGATGGGGAATGGGGGATGATGGGGGAATGGGGGATGGAGGATTGGGGATTGGGAGAATGGAGGAATGGGGGATGGGGAATGGGGGGATGAAGGTATGGGGGATAATGGGATGGGGGATTATGGGATGGGGGATTATGGGATGGGGGATTATGGGATGGGGGATTATGGGATGGGGGATTATGGGATGGGGGATGATGGGATGGGGGATGATGGGGAGATGGAAGATTATGGAGATAGGGGATGGAGGATGAGGGGATGGGCGACTGAGGAAGTGGATGCAGCCATCCGGCACAGCCATGGGAGCATTGCTTAATGGCGAGGCAACGACCCATGATATGATATGATATGATGTACCCCTCGAGCATGCCCCACACACCCCACGCACACCAGCACTCCCAAACTCCCATCCATCTCCCACCCATCAGCACCCATCAGCACCCCTCTCTCACCCAGCATCGGATGCACACTCCCTATGCACTCGTTCCTCCTCCACTCACACCGCCTCTCCCCCCCATCACTCCCGCTGCTCCTCCTCCTCGCCCCTCTCTCCTCCCCACCCATTCCCCGCAATCCCCGCGCCACTGCCTCCTCCACATGTGGATCTTGAGAATCAAAAGCCGCCCCACCCATTCCTTCCCGTCCCTGCGCCACTGTATCCTCTCCATCCGCCTCCCTCTGTCCTATCTCGGCTCTGCTTCCTCTTCGCGCCGAAGCAGCTGCACTGCCCGCCGTGTTCCCTCCTCCACCGCCCATTCCACTGTGCCAACTCTCCTCCATCCCTCCCCTCCTCTATCAACCATGTCAGTATGGAATCTCGGTAGGGAGCATGGGAGAATATGCTTGACGTCGGTATCAAAGTGCTGTGGACGGGGCATGGGAGGAGCAGGTTGTGCTGGGAGAATATGCTTGACGTCGGTAGGAGAGGGAAGGGGAGGAGCAGCCGCATGATCAGCGGCAGCAGCAGGAATAGGAAGGGGCGAGGGAGGTGGAGCAGGGGAGAGCAGGAGCATGTGGGAGCAAGCGACCATGAGCATGTGACCATGAGCAAGCGACCATGAGCATGTGACCATGAGCATGTGACCATGAGCAAGCGACCATGAGCATGTGACCATGAGCAAGCGACCATGAGCATGTGACCATGAGCATGTGACCATGAGCAAGCGACCATGAGCATGCGACCATGAGCATGTGACCATGAGCAAGCGACCATGAGCATGTGACCATGAGCAAGCGACCATGAGCATGTGACCATGAGCATGTGACCATGAGCAAGCGACCATGAGCATGCGACCATGAGCATGTGACCATGAGCAAGCGACCATGAGCATGTGACCATGAGCAAGCGACCATGAGCATGTGACCATGAGCATGTGACCATGAGCAAGCGACCATGAGCATGTGACCATGAGCAAGCGACCATGAGCATGTGACCATGAGCATGTGACCATGAGCAAGCGACCATGAGCATGTGACCATGAGCAAGCGACCATGAGCATGTGACCATGAGCATGTGACCATGAGCAAGCGACCATGAGCATGTGACCATGAGCAAGCGAACATGAGCATGTGACCATGAGCATGTGACCATGAGCAAGCGACCATGAGCATGCGACCATGAGCATGTGACCATGAGCAAGCGACCATGAGCATGTGACCATGAGCAAGCGACCATGAGCATGTGACCATGAGCATGTGACCATGAGCAAGCGACCATGAGCATGCGACCATGAGCATGTGACCATGAGCAAGCGACCATGAGCATGTGACCATGAGCAAGCGACCATGAGCATGTGACCATGAGCATGTGACCATGAGCAAGCGACCATGAGCATGCGACCATGAGCATGTGACCATGAGCAAGCGACCATGAGCATGTGACCATGAGCAAGCGACCATGAGCATGTGACCATGAGCATGTGACCATGAGCAAGCGACCATGAGCATGTGACCATGAGCAAGCGACCATGAGCATGTGACCATGAGCATGTGACCATGAGCAAGCGACCATGAGCATGTGACCATGAGCAAGCGACCATGAGCATGTGACCATGAGCATGTGACCATGAGCAAGCGACCATGAGCATGTGACCATGAGCAAGCGACCATGAGCATGCGACCATGAGCATGTGACCATGAGCAAGCGACCATGAGCATGTGACCATGAGCAAGCGACCATGAGCATGTGACCATGAGCATGTGACCATGAGCAAGCGACCATGAGCATGCGACCATGAGCATGTGACCATGAGCAAGCGACCATGAGCATGTGACCATGAGCAAGCGACCATGAGCATGTGACCATGAGCATGTGACCATGAGCAAGCGACCATGAGCATGTGACCATGAGCAAGCGACCATGAGCATGTGACCATGAGCATGTGACCATGAGCAAGCGACCATGAGCATGCGACCATGAGCATGTGACCATGAGCAAGCGACCATGAGCATGTGACCATGAGCAAGCGACCATGAGCATGCGACCATGAGCATGTGACCATGAGCAAGCGACCATGAGCATGTGACCATGAGCAAGCGACCATGAGCATGTGACCATGAGCATGTGACCATGAGCAAGCGACCATGAGCATGTGACCATGAGCAAGCGACCATGAGCATGTGACCATGAGCATGTGACCATGAGCAAGCGACCATGAGCATGTGACCATGAGCATGTGACCATGAGCAAGCGACCATGAGCATGTGACCATGAGCAAGCGACCATGAGCATGCGACCATGAGCATGTGACCATGAGCAAGCGACCATGAGCATGTGACCATGAGCAAGCGACCATGAGCATGCGACCATGAGCATGTGACCATGAGCAAGCGACCATGAGCATGTGACCATGAGCAAGCGACCATGAGCATGTGACCATGAGCATGTGACCATGAGCAAGCGACCATGAGCATGTGACCATGAGCAAGCGACCATGAGCATGTGACCATGAGCATGTGACCATGAGCAAGCGACCATGAGCATGTGACCATGAGCATGTGACCATGAGCAAGCGACCATGAGCATGTGACCATGAGCAAGCGACCATGAGCATGCGACCATGAGCATGTGACCATGAGCAAGCGACCATGAGCATGTGACCATGAGCAAGCGACCATGAGCATGTGACCATGAGCATGTGACCATGAGCAAGCGACCATGAGCATGTGACCATGAGCATGTGACCATGAGCAAGCGACCATGAGCATGTGACCATGAGCAAGCGACCATGAGCATGCGACCATGAGCATGTGACCATGAGCAAGCGACCATGAGCATGTGACCATGAGCAAGCGACCATGAGCATGTGACCATGAGCATGTGACCATGAGCAAGCGACCATGAGCATGTGACCATGAGCATGTGACCATGAGCAAGCGACCATGAGCATGTGACCATGAGCAAGCGACCATGAGCATGCGACCATGAGCATGTGACCATGAGCAAGCGACCATGAGCATGTGACCATGAGCAAGCGACCATGAGCATGCGACCATGAGCAAGCGACCATGAGCAAGCGACCATGAGCATGCGACCATGACACCACACGCGCGCGCGCCATGGGCGCGCACAGCATTCCGCGCACCTGCGCTCTCCGCCACTATTCTTTCACATGAATCACAGTAAGGCATTTCGAAGCGTACGCGCTGATGAGCGAAACGAGGAGTGGCGACATCATGAGCTTCATGCTTTTGTATCCGACCTGACTAGAGAGGCAGCGACGAGAGGCAGTGACGAAGAGGAGTGAATCTCGCAGTGCGAAGAGCAATGAGATGGGTGTGGTGGGAAAGGCGGGGTGGGAAAAGTGGGGTGGGAAAAGCGGGGTGGGAAAAGTGGGGTGGGAAAAGCGGGGTGGGAAAAGGGGGTGGGAAAAGGGGGTGAGAAAAAAAGGGGTGGGAGAAGGGAGTGAAGAGAAGGTGGGGTCAAAAAGGTTAGTGGTCTCGTGGCACGAGCCTGTGAGTGAAACCACCGCCGCGCACTCAGCCTCGCTATCCCTCCACCGTTGGGAGCGGGAGGTTTTTGCTGCTCGGTTTCCCGCCTCACGCGATGCCCCCCTCTCTAATCGTCACACCACCTGGCTCTTCCGAGCAGATGACGTTACGAACTCTCAGCATAAAGTGAACGAGTCATCGACGTGACAGGCGACGGGTCTCGCAGGTGAGCGACAACTCCAAGGATTGGCCCCCGCTCGGGTTACAGACGAGGGCGACCTCGTTCGGAGAATTACGCGGTCAACTTTTGCAAAACTAATCAGTCAATCAAAGCATATTTCTGTGTTGTGGCTTCTTTATGCTTGTCAATTTGCTTCATTCCTAGTCGACAAAAGCTCTTCATCGTCACAGTTGTCACTCTCAGCGTGAAGGCACTCCATTTGAGCATCAACTAACCACATAAAAGCAGTTTCCCTTCGTAGATTTTTTTTAACTTTCCGTGCCACCGTTTCCACGAGTTCGATGTGCCACCCATCACAGCTGCTGGCGCTTCGTGTTGAAGTGCCTGGGTGTGCAGAAGCAAGCTCGAATTCTCAGCGCACCTCTGTTTCTTGCCGCGCCTTGCCCAGCAGACGACTCGTCTTTCACTTCCCTCCGCCCGCCGTCGACTCCTCTCCGCCCGCCGTCGACTCCTCTTCGCCACGCGATTAAGCCACGCGACTGCCTCCCTCTCTTTCCGCGTCATGGAAAGAGCGAATCGTTCTATGTCACGTGGGGTGGACGAACAGCACCTCTGCTCGAACCGTGTAACCATTCGCCAGCGGCTTCGCGAATGGAAGGATCGCGTCAAGTGTCGCGCGCAGGGGTTGTACGCGTCGGGTTACCACAACGGTTACGGATCTGCTCCCTACGGCTCGCTTCAAGCGTCCGTCGCGGCGGGCGGCGGCCGCAAGGCGGCGATGGCGACGGCGGCGGCTGCGGCGACGTCGTCGCTGGCGGCGGTGCGCGTGTTCAAAGGCAACAGCGTGCTCGCGCAATTCAAGGCGCGAATCACGGCGCGATTTGTGGAGGGGCCGGTGGGACTCCTGACTGACACGGCGGATGGGCAACGTGCAGCAGGAGCAGCAGCAGAGGCGTTGACAGCAACAGGGATAGAGGCTACGGGCGAGATTGGGGAGAGAGGCGAGGCAGAAGGGGTGGGCGGGATGAGCAGAGTGGGTGGAGCAGATGGGGGGAGGCAGGCGCTGGTGGTGGGGGGCGAAGAGGGCGAGGAGCAGAGCGCGGCAGTGCGCATGGCGCAGGCTGTTCTGCTGCCAGCTCTGGGCGCCGTGTCACACGCCTTCATGCACGGCCTCAACCGCACTGAGGTGCGCTCAACCGTACCAAGGCGGGCTGATGTGTATGCGTGGCGGCAGGCGCCTTGCGCCTTGTGCAGTGCGTGATCAATGCACACAGGCCCCCAGGTGATCGATGCACACAGGCTACAAGCTCACCAACGCCATCACCCACCTTTTGAGTTGACTCACACATCCACCCTCCATCCTCATCCGCCCATCCCCCTCCGCCCATCCCCCTCTACCCATACCCTCCCCCGCACACCCTCTCCCCCCACCAGGTGATCAACGCTCACAAGCTCACCAACGCCATCGCCCACCGCCCCCCCGGCACACCCCTCCTCACGGTACCACTGCTGACTCCACACCCCCCCCCCCGCCCCCCCCCCCTGTGTATGCGTTGCTGCCCCCCTGTGCTGCTGCCCCCGCCCTCCCCCCCCTGTGCTGCTGCCCCCCTGTGCTGCTGCCCCCGCCCTCTCCCCCCTGTGCTGCTGCCCCCGCCCTCTCCCCCCTCCCCCCCCTCTTTGTGTGCGCTGCCGTTTGCCTCCATGCGTCACGCCTCTTCACCCTCCCATCTCTCTCCTCGCCTGCACGTCCTGTATGAACCGCTCTCCACCACCCGCCTACTCCCTGCCACCTTCTCTTCCCCCCCACCTGCCCTTTCCCACTCCCCTCACCTGCCACCTCATCCATCCACCCACCTGTGCTCCTTATTTCGAATGCTATGGCACCCACCCACCCCTCACCTTCCCCTCTGTCCCGCCACGTGTCACTCCCTCCCCCCCCCCGCCACATGTCCCTTATTCACGTGTCTATCCAACCGCCACGTGTCCAATCACGTGGCAGCCATGGATGATCTGTAGTCGTGGCAGCACCCTCCTTCATTCACGTCACACCCTCCTTTCCCTCCCGCACCCCCTCCTATCCCTCCCCCGCACCCTCCCATCCCTTCCCGCACCATTCCATCTCTCCACCGCACACCATTCCATCTCTCCACCGCACACCATTCCATCTCTCCACCGCACACCATTCCATCTCTCCACCGCACACCATTCCATCTCTCCACCGCACACCATTCCATCTCTCCACCGCACACCATTCCATCTCTCCACCGCGCACCATTCCATCTCTCCACCGCACACGATTCCATCTCTCCACCGCACCCCATTCCATCTCTCCACCGCACACCATTCCATCTCTCCACCGCACACCATTCCATCTCTCCACCGCACACCATTCCATCTCTCCACCGCACACCATTCCATCTCTCCACCGCACACCATTCCATCTCTCCACCGCACACCATTCCATCTCTCCACCGCACACCATTCCATCTCTCCACCGCACACCATTCCATCTCTCCACCGCACACCATTCCATCTCTCCACCGCACACCATTCCATCTCTCCACCGCACACCATTCCATCTCTCCACCGCACACCATTCCATCTCTCCACCGCACACCATTCCATCTCTCCACCGCACACCATTCCATCTCTCCACCGCACACCATTCCATCTCTCCACCGCACCCCATTCCATCTCTCCACCGCACACCATTCCATCTCTCCACCGCACCCCATTCCATCTCTCCACCGCACACCATTCCATCTCTCCACCGCACACCATTCCATCTCTCCACCGCACACCATTCCATCTCTCCACCGCACACCATTCCATCTCTCCACCGCACACCATTCCATCTCTCCACCGCACACCATTCCATCTCTCCACCGCACACCATTCCATCTCTCCACCGCACACCATTCCATCTCTCCACCGCACCCCATTCCATCTCTCCACCGCACACCATTCCATCTCTCCACCGCACACCATTCCATCTCTCCACCGCACACCATTCCATCTCTCCACCGCACCCCATTCCATCTCTCCACCGCACACCATTCCATCTCTCCACCGCACCCCATTCCATCTCTCCACCGCACACCATTCCATCTCTCCACCGCACACCATTCCATCTCTCCACCGCACACCATTCCATCTCTCCACCGCACACCATTCCACCTCCACTGCACACCTGTGCTCTCTCCACTGCACACCCCCTCACCTCACCAGGTGTCCAATCACGTGGCAGCAATGGACGACCCACTGGTCATGGCAGCGGTGGTGCCGCCATCCCTCATGCTCGCCCGCCCCGCCTCTCTCCGCTGGACCCTCTGTGCCACCGACCGCTGCTTCTCCTCGCCCCTGTTCTCGGCTTTCTTCACGTCGCTGCGGGCTCTACCAGTGGAGCGGGGAGGGGGGCTGGAGCAGCCGGTGAGTGCATGGGGGGGGGTTGTGTGGAGGGGAAGGGTAGATATGTGGGGGTGGAGAGGAGAGGGGGATGTGATGGGGGTCCAGCAAGCAGTGACCTCTCCTCCCCTCCGCCCCTCGTCTCTCCGCTGGGCCCTCTGTGCCTCCGATCGTTGCTTCTCCTCTTTCTTCACCTCGCTCCGAGCCTTACCGGTGGAACAAGGGAGGGGACAGCAGCAGCCGGTGAGTGGGGGTAGGGAGGGGACAGCAGGGTATGCATGGGATTCGTAGATGGAAGGCATTGCCACCCATTGCCATGCATCAGTTGCTGTGCCATCTCATGCCTTGTCACCCACTCATGCATTCTTCTTACACCCTTTGCGAACCCCCCCCCAACCCCCTCAGGGCATGCGGGCAGCAGCGCAGCGCCTGAGCGAGGGCGGGTGGGTGCACATTTTCCCGGAAGGCACTCGGTCGCTGGATGGCGGGCGCACCGTTGCACCCATGCGCAGAGGCGTGGCATGGTGAGGAGGAGGGCGTGGGCAGTGTGAATCAAGAAAAATCAGGAATGAAATGACTAAGTGAAAGTTGGGTACAAAAGGCAAACCCTAGGAAACTGTACCCCATATGTGCTACCCCACTATAGCCTACAGTAGCTATGTCAAATAACTCTGACACACCCCCATAGGCAAAGTGGGGGAGAACAAGGGGTCACAAGACCAGTCAAGCAAAGCAAAGCAAGCTCAGGGTGGATCACAAAGTCACCACACATTCCGAGCACAAGTTCAAGGCCAGTTCACATGCAGGATTACATATATATATAAGGCTAAACAAGCAAGAGCAGGAGTATATATATATGCAACAGTACAAACAAGGTCAAGAGGTGAGCAAGTGAGGCAAGGTAGGCACAAGACCCAGCTGAGTACAGAAGCGCTGATGATCACAAGGCGCAAGTGCCTTGGTGAAGATATCAGCAGTGTTGGCCTCAGAGGCCACGTACGCAAGACGCAGCTGACCACGCTGCTGCAGCTCACGAGCAAGAAAGTAGCGGAGAGCAATGTGCTTCGTTCTGTGCTCCAGTCGCTGCTCCCGACACAAGGCCAGCATGGCCTTGTTGTCTACGTACAGCACTGGAGGAGAACGAGGCAACTCTCCGAGGTCAGTCAGCAGGTAGGTGAGCCAGCGAAGCTCCTGTGCAGCCATGGCTCCTGCGTAGATCTCAGCCTCACAACTGGAGCCGAGAACAGAAGACGAGCGAGTAGCCCGCCACGAAACAGAGCCGGAACCAAGGCTGAAGGTGTAACCCTGTGACGACCGCTGCATAGCCTGGTCGTCAGCCCAAGAAGCGTCTGCGTGCCCAGTAAGGACCACTGGACTCTGCCCTCCAAGCACAAGCCCCATGCCCGACGTACTGCACAAGTAGCGCAACACCCTCTTCGCTGCAGCCATGTGCTCCGGTCTGTGTCTCCCAGGAGCAACATAGCGTGCAAGAATGCTAAGAGGGTATGCAAGGTCAGGTCGTGTGCAGGTCATCAGGTACATGAGGCAGCCAACAAGCTCTGGGTACGGGCCACTCGACTCTACGGACTCATCCGAAGGCAGAGCTGAGAGCGAGTGGCGAGTAGGCAGAGGAGTGGCCTGAGGCGAGGAGTACGTGAAGCCGAAGCGCTGAAGGACCTGGTGCACCATGTGTGACTGAGTCAGGGTAATGGTGCGGCGTGCTCTGTCCCGAGTGATCTGCAAGCCAAGGTAGCTGCGCAGTTCACCCAGGTCAGTGCACGTGTGTCTCTTCTGCAGCTCGGACTTCACGTGGGCTAGTCCTGCAGTGTCAGCTGTGGCAAAGACCAAGTCGTCGACGTACACGAGGATGTAGAACGGCGGCAAAGAAGTGTCGGTGCGCAGAAACAGCGACGGGTCGGCAGTAGAGGGAGCAAACCCAAGAGCCGCAAGTGTAGTCCTCAGTGTGTCGTGCCACTCACGCGGTGCCTGGCGGAGACCGTAGACTGGCCGCCGTAGGCTCCACTGGGTGCCAGGAGGAAAAGACCCAGTGAAGCCAGGTGGGCGACGCAGCCAGATCTCCTCGTGCAGGCTGCCCTGCAAGAAAGCAGTGCTGAAGTCAAGAGAGTGTAGCTCGTAGTCACGGTGAGCAGCTACGTGCAGCAGTACCCGAAGAGTGGTCATCTTCGGGGTGGGAGAGAAGGTCTGAAAGTAGTCAACTCCCTGCCGCTGACTGAAGCCACGAGCCACGTAACGCGCCTTGAAGACAGGCGGAGAACCCGGCGGTCGCTTCACCCTGAAAATCCACATGCCACTGACGATGTTCGCCCCAGGAGGGGGAACAGCGTCAACGTAGGTGCCTGTGGACTTCCAGGAAGCCATCTCTGCGTCCATAGCTCCCTGCCACTGAGAGGAGTAGGGACCCTCTATCGCCTCCGCGTAAGAGCGCGAAGTCGGGATGTCAAGTGCATCCGGGTCTCCCTCAGGGGTAAGCAGTACGGACACGAGATGAGGTGAAGCAGCGGCCAAGCACTGGAACTCCTCCTGCCTGTCCTCAAGGACGTCCGTGCCAAGGGCACACTCACCCCCGACGGACGGAGGACAGACAGACTCAGACTCAGCAACAAGACTGGCGACGTAGTCTAGGCGACAGCGAGCAGCAAAGTCGACGAGCTCAGCAACTAGAGCAGACGCAGCAGTGGACTCAAAGGAAGGGTCAGTGACAACAGTAGCAAGGAGACGCGTGACAGTAGGACTGGCAGCGCGAAGAGAGTCCGACTCCGGGTCGGCAAGAGCAGGAAGAGAAGACTCAGGAGGAGAAGGCAAAGGGGCACGCAGAGGAGCAGTGGACGGACGCAGAGACATCCGGTGCGTGCCAGGGACAGGAGGAGGACGCTGACGCGAACCGCGACCACTAGTGCGAGCAGCACGGACAGGCGACGCAGGGCGAGAAGCAGGCTCACGACGCTCAGCAAGACCTCCAGTAGGACCAGTGTAGGGAGACGGAGCAGGCAGTGGGGAGGCCAGCTGTAACTGTAACTGCGACGGGACAGGCTGTGGACACTCTAAGGGAGGAGGAGGACCAGTAGAAGGCGGGAGACCAAGAACCTGCTGAAGGAGCGGAACGAAGTACGGCCGAGGCCGCGCGGCGACTCCAGGCACAGGAGGGACAGCACCAGCACCCCCAGTGGCAGCACCAGTGCCAGTAGCAGCTCCAGCTCCAGAACCCCCAGCAGCACCAGTAGTACCCCCAGCAGGACCGCCTCCAGGACCGACAGCAGTAGCCTCCGCGCCAACACCCGCAGCAACTCCAGCTCCAGAAGTACCCGCAGGTCCAGCAGCTCCAGTACTCCCAGTACGAGCACCTCCGGGACCCGTGGCACCAGCTCCCTCAGCAGCAACAGAACCTCCAGTACCCGCAGCACCTCCAGCTCCAGCAGCTCCAGCAGCTCGCCTCCAGCGCCGGGCAAACCACTCACGCAGCTCCTGGGGAGAGAGTGGCTCCCGACGAGAAGGAGCACCCGGAGAACCGCCAGGTACAGCACCACCAGGCGTAGCACCCCCAGGCTCAGCACCTCTAGGCGTAGTACCCCCAGGCTCAGCACCCCCAGACGCAGCACCCCCAGGCTCAGCACCTCCAGGCGTAGTACCCCCAGGCTCAGCACCCCCAGTCGTAGTACCCCCAGACTCAGCACCCCCAGACTCAGCACCCCCAGGCTCAGCACCCCCAGGCGTAGCACCCACACGCTCAGCACCCCCAGAGTCAGCACCCCCAGGCTCAGCACCCTCAGCAGCACCAGAGTCACCAGCGACCTCGACAGGCTCAATAGCGTCTACCTGGGACACACCTGAAGGGGCAGGACCCTGAGGGGGGAGGGGGTCTACCGGGGGGGGACCTGGTACAAGGAAGAGCGGTGGCGGGGGGAGGGACGGAGTGCGGTAGGGGAAGAGGCGGTAGTAGGGGACCGACTCGTCGAACGTGACGTCCTGGGAGGACAGAACACGGCGAGAGGTGGGGTGGTAGAACTGCCACCCTGGGGCGTCAGGGGGGAAACCCAGGAAGACGCAAGGAGCAGCACGAGGGGACAGCTTGTCCGCAGACAAGTCGCGGACAAACGCCCGAGATCCCCAGACACGGAACGCAGACGCATCGCCAACCTTCCCCGTCCACAGCAAAGCTGGGGAGGTCTCCGGCATGGAGACCCTGGGCTGAAGGTTGATCTGATGCGCCGCGTACCGAACCGCAAACGGCCACAGAAAATGGGGGGCAGCCGCATGCATCATGGACGTACGGGCGACGTCCATGACCATGCCAATGCGGCGCTCAGCAATCCCATTTTGCTGTGGAGAGTCCGGAAGCGTGAAGGTCTGGCGGATGCCTCGTGCACGACAGTAGGCTCGCAGAAGGCCAGAGGAGAACTCTCCACCTCTGTCAGAGTGCAGACGCAGAACAGGAAAGTCCGAGCCGAAGCTCCGCCTGAGCTGGAGACGAGCTGCGCGGATCCAGTCGATCAACACCTCAGTGACATCACCCTTGCTGCGCAAGGGGAAGACTGTGGTGTAACGCGAGTAGTCGTCAACCACCAGCAGGAAGTAGCGCTCGTGACCCTGTCCACGGACGCGGGCCGGGCCCCACACGTCCATGTGAAGCGTCTGCAGCGGGGCCTCTGTCGGAGGAAACTGGGAGGAGTGAGGGGTAGCCCGCTGCCGTCCCTCGACACAGGGGACGCAGGTAGGGCCAGGCCCCGGAGGAAGGGGAGGGAGGGACCGGGGAAGACCAGAGACAAGGACACGGGAGGCCATGCTCCGGAGACGAAGCAGGGAGGGGTGACCAAGGCGGTGGTGCCAGAGGAGAGTCTCGTGAGACAGGAGGCGACACGAGCAGGGGGCAGACTCAGGACCAGACCTGGACGCTGCAGCAAACACCTGACCCGACGCAGCTACCTGACCAGACGCAGGGACTGGAGGAGACGCAGTGGTCAGTGTGTACAGGCTCGACCCTGGCCGACGTGTAAACGTGGCCAGGTGGCGGCCTGTCCGAGCGTCCGTGCAGTGGGTCACCCGCTGACTCGCAGGAGTGAACTGGTGAACCCCCGCATCCTGTAGGTCAGCACCACTCACCAAGTTCGTAGAGAACGAGGGAAGGTAAAGACCAGACAGGGTGCCAGAGGGGGCCGCCGGACACGGGAGGACAGTGGAGAAGTGAGCAAGGACAGGACCCCCAGAGGGGTCTGCCAGAGAGACTGCAACTGGCCGGCTAAGCGGCGTGAGTGTGGTGCGGTCTCGAAAGAAGGAGCGAGAAGCCCCCGAGTCAAGGGTGAAGGTGTGGGAGGCCGAAGCCGACGCAGAACCTGAGAGAGCAGACTCACCAGCACCTGAGGGAGCAGACGCACCTAGAGCAGCAGCCTCGCTAGCACCTAGAGCAGCAGCCTCACCAGTACCTAGAGCAGCAGTCTCGATGCCCGGGTCGGGCGGAAAACACCTGTAACAGTCACCCTCATTACTAATAGTCACAGTATACATGGCAGCAAGAATAGCATCAAAGTCAAGGTCAAAGACAGCCACACCCGCCCTAGACAGCTCACCCCAGCGGGGGATCTCAGTGGCCTCAGGGAACTGGTGACGCCAAGCGTCCGTCAGGCGGCCAAAGCAGCGCTGGGTGGAGTGCGCACCCCCGCACTGCTCACCCGCGCGGTCGCCGGTGCGGAGGACGTAGGTGCACGGACCAGTACCCCCACCCCTCTGGCGTGCAGTGTACCACTCACGGAGCTGCTGAGGGGAGGGGATGTCACGAGTGCGCTGCTGCTGCTGCTGCTGCTGCTGGCGCTGACCACCACCGGAGCCGACCCTCTGCGCAGCGCCACCCCGACCAGCTCCACCTCCTCCGCTGCCTCCTCCTCCACCGCCGCCACCTCCGCTCCCTCCGCCACTGCCGCTGCCGCCTCCGCCTCCACTGCCGCCACCGACACCTCCACCCCCGCCACCACCCCCACCGCCACCGCCACCTCCTCCACCTCCTCCACTGCCGCCTCCACCGCCCCCGCTAGCTCCTCCAGCGCCCTTGCCCCCCTTGCCCTTGCCAGGGCGACGTCTCACGCTAGGGGTAGACGCCGCACCGACCGACTCAAGCCCAACGAGGTCGGCCGCAGCAGCAGAGGCAACAGAGGGCAAAAGGGGGGAGGGGGAACACCCCTCAAAGATGGGGGTGCGAGGGTCACCACGAGAGGCTCCTACAGCTACTATGCTCTTCTCTACTGCTAGGAGGGACTTCTCGAGGAGGTCAACGGTGAGAGCGGTGGGGCAAACTGAGAGGAAGTGGTCCCTGACTACGCGAAGGGAGTCAGGGAGCCGGGTGACTATGTAGTAGAGGGTGATGTACATGGGGGGGGGGTTCTTGGCGTAGAACTCAGCAGGAAGCGCAGCGCGGTAGCGAGTGTCACTAGTGCGTAGGTGCGTAATGAGGTCAGCGACTGTGGGAAAGGCAGCAAGGTCAGGGAAGAGGTACGGTAGCATGAGGCGACTCAGTGCAGCAGTGGCAGGGGAGGAGTAGCGTGCAACTACAGCGTCGTACAAGGTCTGAGCACTCTTGTACTGGCTAAAGTGCGCACGCTCAGAGGTAGGCAGGTGGCGACGCACAGCAAGACGTGCAGCAGCATCGCGCGTGGCCCACTGGGAGCGAACAGTTGCGTCAGCATCAGTGGCGGGGGCAGGAGAGGCACCAGAAGTGAGGTCAAAGAGGGAGAGGCCGTCTGCCCTATCGCACTGTAAGAAAAGCTGCAGGTCATCTATCCAGACGTCAAAGTCAATGGCCCGACCCTCAGCGTCAAAAGCGAGGACACTAGGGGTAGCCATGACAGCAGTAGACTAGCAGCGCAAACAGTGGGGTGAGGGCAGTGCTGTGAGAGAGGCGCTGCTCTTACCGGACAGGGCGGCTCGGGCGGCTCGGCTGCAGGGCGGCTCGGCGACTCGGCTGCTGGGCGGCTCGGCTGCTGGGCGGCTCGGCGGCTCGGCTGCTGGGCGGCTCAGCGGCTCGGCTGTTGGGCGGCTCGGCGGCTCGGCTGCTGGGCGGCTCGGTGGCTCAGCTGCTGGGCGGCTAGGCTGCTGGGCGGCTCGGCGGGGCCGCTGAGAGGGCGGCGTCCGGGGCCGCTGGGAGGAGGCGGCGGGGCCGCTGAGAGGAGGCGGCGGGGCCGCTGAGAGGAGGCGGCGGGGCCGGAAAGGTAGGTGGCGGGGCCGCGTCAGGGGCCGCGACAGGGGCCGCGTCAGGGGCCGCGTCAGGGGCCGCGGCAGGGGCCGCGTCAGGGGCCGCGGCAGGGCCGCGTCAGGGCGCCGCGTCAGGGGCCGCGTCAGGGCGCCGCCAGGGGCCGCGGCAGGGCCGCGTCAGGGCCGCGTAAGGGGCCGCGGCAGGGGCCGCGTCAGGGGCCGCGTCAGGGCCGCGTCAGGGCCGCGGCAGAGCCGCGTCAGGGCCGCGTCAGGGGCCGCTGCAGGGCCGCGGCAGGGGCCGCAGCAGGCCGCGTCAGGACCGCGTCAGGGGCCGCGGCAGGGCCGCGTCAGGGCCGCGGCAGGGGCCGCGTCAGGGCGCCGCGTCAGGGGCCGCGTCAGGGCGCCGCCAGGGGCCGCGGCAGGGCCGCGTCAGGGCCGCGTCAGGGCCGCGGCAGAGCCGCGTCAGGGCCGCGTCAGGGGCCGCTTCAGGGCCGCGGCAGGGGCCGCGGCAGGCCGCGTCAGGGCCGCGTCAGGGGCCGCGGCAGGGCCGCGTCAGGGCCGCGGCAGGGGCCGCGTCAGGGCGCCGCCAGGGGCCGCGTCAGGCCGCGTCAGGGCCGCGTCAGGCGCCGCCAGGGGCCGCGTCAGGGCGCCACCAGGGGGCGCGTCAGGGGCCGCGATAGGGCGCCGGCAGGGGCCTCGTCAGGGCGCCGCCAGGGGCCGCATAGGGGGCGCGTGGGAGGCGGCGTAGGGGCCGCGTAGGGGCAGCGTAGGGGCTGCTAAAAAAAAAATTTAGGGCAGGGCGCAATGTGCGCGGGCAGCTAAAAAAAAAAATCTTATGGTGGGCCCTTAGGAAGGAACGGTCCCATGTAGGAACCAGCTCTATACCATGTGAATCAAGAAAAAACAGGAATGAAATGACTAAGTGAAAGTTGGGTACAAAAGGCAAACCCTAGGAAACTGTACCCCATATGTGCTACCCCACTATAGCCTACAGTAGCTATGTCAAATAACTCTGACAGGCAGTAAGTGGGAGAGGTGGGGATGACGTGGGGGAGTTGGGGGTGGGGGGGGTGTGGAGGGAATGGACTCTGGAGGAAGGTGGAAGGGTGAGGGTGGTGCGATGAAATATGAGCAAATATATTGGTGCGATGAAATATGAGCAAATATATTGGTGCGATGAAATATGAGCAAATATATTGGTGCGATGAAATATGAGCAAATATATTGGTGCGATGAAATATGAGCAAATATATTGGTGCGATGAAATATGAGCAAATATATTGGTGCGATGAAATATGAGCAAATATATTGGTGCGATGAAATATGAGCAAATATATTGGTGCGATGAAATATGAGCAAATATATTGGTGCGATGAAATATGAGCAAATATATTGGTGCGATGAAATATGAGCAAATATATTGGTGCGATGAAATATGAGCAAATATATTGGTGCGATGAAATATGAGCAAATATATTGGTGCGATGAAATATGAGCAAATATATTGGTGCAATGAAATATGAGCAAATATATTGGTGCGATGAAACATGAGCAAATATATTGGTGCGATGAAATATGAGCAAATATATTGGTGCGATGAAATATGAGCAAATATATTGGTGCGATGAAATATGAGCAAATATATTGGTGCGATGAAATATGAGCAAATATATTGGTGCGATGAAATATGAGCAAATATATTGGTGCGATGAAATATGAGCAAATATATTGGTGCGATGAAATATGAGCAAATATTCTGGTGCGATGAAATATGAGCAAATATATTGGTGCGATGAAATATGAGCAAATATATTGGTGCGATGAAATATGAGCAAATATATTGGTGCGATGAAACATGAGCAAATATATTGGTGCGATGAAATATGAGCAAATATATTGGTGCGATGAAATATGAGCAAATATATTGGTGCGATGAAATATGAGCAAATATATTGGTGCATTGAAATATGAGCAAATATATTGGTGCGATGAAATATGAGCAAATATATTGGTGCATTGAAATATGAGCAAATATATTGGTGCGATGAAATATGAGCAAATATATTGGTGCGTGTCTGATGATTCATGTGGGATGGTGCGTGTGGGATGGTGGATGTGGGATGGTGGATGTGGGATGGTGTGTGTGGGATGGTGGATGTAGGATGGTGGATGTGGGATGGTGGATGTGGGATGGTGTGTGTGGGATGGTGTGTGGGATGGTGGATGTGGGATGGTGGATGTGGGATGGTGTGTGTGGGATGGTGTGTGTGGGATGGTGGATGTGGGATGGTGGATGTGGGAATCCCCATGAGCACAAGGGCGAACACCTGTTCGGTTCGCCTCGAACGTGTTCGAGGCGAACCGAACAGGTTTGTTTTTTTTGCTTAAATTGTTCGCCGAACAGTGTTCGATGTTCGCCCGAACATGTTCGTGTTCGGGCCGCTGCTACAATTTGCCCCGCGACGAACACGAACGTGTTCGATGTTCGCCCGAACATGCCTTCACAGGCGAACGGCGAACACGTGTTTTTGCTTAAAGTGTTCGCCGAACCGAACAGTGTTCGGTTCGGCAAACGGATGTGTTCGTCTAGGGGCGAACACGAACATGTTCGTGTTCGCCCCTTGCTCATCCCTATGTGGGATGGTGGATGTGGGATGGTGGATGTGGGATGGTGGATGTGGGATGGTGGATGTGGGATGGTGGATGTGGGATGTGTGTGGTGCACTGCCTGGTATCAGTGCATTTAGCCTTTCGATTTTTGAGCCATTTCTCACACCTTGCTGCTGTCCACCTCCACTCATCACCCCCACCACCCCCGTCATCACCCCCGTGCACCCCCACCATGATTTTCCACTGCATGATACCCAGGGTGCTAGCACCCCCCATTTGTGATTCCCAAGCTGCTAGCACGCACGCAGTGCCGCCACTCATTAACTCGCCCACCCATCCCCCGTCCTACCCATACCCCTCCACTCCCCCCAAACACCCCCCTTCTTGCGAACACCCTCCTTCCCCGTGGTGACTGTCTCCCAGGCCGGCAGCGCAGTGCACACGCCGCCCCCCATGAATCCACCACCTGCCCCCTTCCCCCCCAAACCCCTCCTTCCTACCCCCCCCCCCCCCCCCCCCCCCCCCACCCCTTTCCCCTCTATGGTTCCCCCAGGCTGGCAGCGCAGTGCACTGTGCCGCCCCTCATCATTCCAGTGGTGCATGTTGGCATGCACCGCGTGCAAGCTAGAGGACAAACGCTGCCGGCCGTAGGCCAACAGGTAAAGCCAGCTTTTTCCATCCACGCACCACTCTTGAACCACGCACACCATGCATGCACTGTACATATCACTCTCTCTATCATATCTTCTCTCATCACTCTCTCCATCATATCTTCTCTCATCACTCTCTCCATCATATCTTCTCTCATCACTCTCTCCATCATATCTTCTCTCATCACTCTCTCCATCATATCTTCTCTCATCACTCTCTCCATCATATCTTCTCTCATCACTCTCTCCATCAGATCTTCTCTCATCACTCTCACCATCATATCTTCTCTCATCACTCTCTCCATCATATCTTCTCTCATCACTCTCTCCATCATATCTTCTCTCATCACTCTCTCCATCATGTCTTCTCTCATCACTCTCTCCATCATATCTTCTCTCATCACTCTCTCCATCATATCTTCTCTCATCACTCTCTCCATCATATCTTCTCTCATCACTCTCTCCATCATATCTTCTCTCATCACTCTCTCCATCATATCTTCTCTCATCACTCTCTCCATCATATCTTCTCTCATCACTCTCTCCATCATATCTTCTCTCATCACTCTCTCCATCATATCTTCTATGATCACTCTCTCCATCACATCTTCTCTCATCACTCTCTCCATCATATCTTCTCTCATCACTCTCTCCATCATATCTTCTCTCATCACTCTCTCCATCACATCTTCTCTCATCACTCTCTCCATCAGATCTTCTCACATCACTCTCTCCATCATATCTTCTCTCATCACTCTCTCCATCATATCTTCTCTCATCACTCTCTCCATCGTATCTTCTCTCATCACTCTCTCCATCAGATCTTCTCTCATCACTCTCTCCATCATATCTTCTCTCATCACTCTCTCCATCATATCTTCTCTCATCACTCTCTCCATCATGTCTTCTCTCATCACTCTCTCCATCATATCTTCTCTCATCACTCTCTCCATCATATCTTCTCTCATCACTCTCTCCATCAGATCTTCTCTCATCACTCTCTCCATCATATCTTCTCTCATCACTCTCTCCATCATATCTTCTCTCATCACTCTCTCCATCATATCTTCTCTCATCACTCTCCATCATATCTTCTCTCATCACTCTCTCCATCATATCTGCTCTCATCACTCTCTTCATCATATCTTCTCTCATCACTCTCTCCATCACATCTTCTCTCATCACTCTCTCCACCATATCTTCTCTCATCACTCTCTCCATCATATCTTCTCTCATCACTCTCTCCATCATATCTTCTCTCATCACTCTCTCCATCATATCTGCTCTCATCACTCTCTCCATCATATCTTCTCTCATCACTCTCTCCATCACATCTTCTCTCATCACTCTCTCCACCACATCTTCTCTCATCACTCTCTCCATCATATCTTCTCTCATCACTCTCTCCATCATATCTTCTCTCATCACTCTCTCCATCATATCTGCTCTCATCACTCTCTCCATCATATCTTCTCTCATCACTCTCTCCATCATATCTTCTCTCGTCACTCTCTCCATCATGTCTTCTCTCATCACTCTCTCCATCATATCTTCTCTCATCACTCTCTCCATCATATCTTCTCTCATCACTCTCTCCATCATATCTTCTCTCATCACTCTCTCCATCATATCTTCTCTCATCACTCTCTCCATCATATCTTCTCTCATCACTCTCTCCATCACATCTTCTCTCATCACTCTCTCCATCACATCTTCTCTCATCACTCTCTCCATCATATCTTCTCTCATCACTCTCTCCATCATATCTTCTCTCATCACTCTCTCCATCATATCTTCTCTCATCACTCTCTCCATCATATCTTCTCTCATCACTCTCTCCATCGTATCTTCTCTCATCACTCTCTCCATCATATCTTCTCTCATCACTCTCTCCATCATATCTTCTCTCATCACTCTCTCCATCACATCTTCTCTCATCACTCTCTCCATCATATCTTCTCTCATCACTCTCTCCATCATATCTTCTCTCATCACTCTCTCCATCATTTCTTCTCTCATCACTCTCTCCATCATATCTTCTCTCATCACTCTCTCCATCACATCTTCTCTCATCGCTCTCTCCATCACATCTTCTCTCATCACTCTCTCCATCATATCTTCTCTCATCACTCTCTCCATCATATCTTCTCTCATCACTCTCTCCATCATATCTTCTCTCATCACTCTCTCCATCATGTCTTCTCTCATCACTCTCTCCATCATATCTTCTCTCATCACTCTCTCCATCATATCTTCTCTCATCACTCTCTCCATCACATCTTCTCTCATCACTCTCTCCATCACATCTTCTCTCATCACTCTCTCCATCATATCTTCTCTCATCACTCTCTCCATCACATCTTCTCTCATCACTCTCTCCATCACATCTTCTCTTATCACTCTCTCCATCACATCTTCTCTCATCACTCTCTCCATCATATCTTCTCTCATCACTCTCTCCATCATATCTTCTCTCATCACTCTCTCCATCATATCTTCTCTCATCACTCTCTCCATCATATCTTCTCTCATCACTCTCTCCATCATATCTTCTCTCATCACTCTCTCCATCACTTCTTCTCTCATCACTCTCTCCATCATATCTTCTCTCATCACTCTCTCCATCATATCTTCTCTCATCACTCTCTCCATCATATCTTCTCTCATCACTCTCTTCATCATATCTTGTCTCATCACTCTCTCCATCATATCTTCTCTCATCACTCTCTCCATCATATCTTCTCTCATCACTCTCTCCATCACATCTTCTCTCATCACTCTCTCCATCACATCTTCTCTCATCACTCTCTCCATCATATCTTCTCTCATCACTCTCTCCATCATATCTTCTCTCATCACTCTCTCCATCACATCTTCTCTCATCACTCTCTCCATCATATCTTCTCTCATCACTCTCTCCATCACATCTTCTCTCATCACTCTCTCCACCATATCTTCTCTCATCACTCTCTCCATCATATCTTCTCTCATCACTCTCTCCATCATATCTTCTCTCATCACTCTCTCCATCATATCTTCTCTCATCACTCTCTCCATCACATCTTCTCTTATCACTCTCTCCATCAAATCTTCTCTCATCACTCTCTCCATCATATCTTCTCTCATCACTCTCTCCATCATATCTTCTCTCATCACTCTCTCCATCACATGTTCTCTCATCACTCTCTCCATCACATCTTCTCTGATCACTCTCTCCATCACATCTTCTCTCATCACTTTCTCCATCATATCTTCTCTCATCACTCTCTCCATCATATCTTCTCTCATCACTCTCTCCATCACATCTTCTCTTATCACTCTCTCCATCACATCTTCTCTCATCACTCTCTCCACCATATCTTCTCTCATCACTCTCTCCATCATATCTTCTCTCATCACTCTCTCCATCATATCTTCTCTCATCACTCTCTCCATCATATCTTCTCTCATCACTCTCTCCATCATATCTTCTCTCATCACTCTCTCCATCAGATCTTCTCTCATCACTCTCACCATCATATCTTCTCTCATCACTCTCTCAATCATATCTTCTCTCATCACTCTCTCCATCATATCTTCTCTCATCACTCTCTCCATCATGTCTTCTCTCATCACTCTCTCCATCATATCTTCTCTCATCACTCTCTCCATCATATCTTCTCTCATCACTCTCTCCATCATATCTTCTCTCATCACTCTCTCCATCATATCTTCTCTCATCACTCTCTCCATCACATCTTCTCTCATCACTCTCTCCATCACATCTTCTCTCATCACTCTCTCCATCATATCTTCTCTCATCACTCTCTCCATCATATCTTCTCTCATCACTCTCTCCATCATATCTTCTCTCATCACTCTCTCCACCACATCTTCTCTCATCACTCTCTCCATCATATCTTCTCTCATCACTCTCTCCATCATATCTTTCTCATCACTCTCTCCATCATATCTTCTCTCATCACTCTCTCCATCACATCTTCTCTCATCACTCTCTCCATCATATCTTCTCTCATCACTCTCTCCATCACATCTTCTCTCATCGCTCTCTCCATCACATCTTCTCTCATCACTCTCTCCATCATATCTTCTCTCATCACTCTCTCCATCATATCTTCTCTCATCACTCTCTCCATCATATCTTCTCTCATCACTCTCTCCATCATGTCTTCTCTCATCACTCTCTCCATCATATCTTCTCTCATCACTCTCTCCATCATATCTTCTCTCATCACTCTCTCCATCACATCTTCTCTCATCACTCTCTCCAACATATCTTCTCTCATCACTCTCTCCATCATATCTTCTCTCATCACTCTCTCCATCATATCTTCTCTCATCACTCTCTCCATCATATCTTCTCTCATCACTCTCTCCATCACATCTTCTCTTATCACTCTCTCCATCACATCTTCTCTCATCACTCTCTCCATCATATCTTCTTTCATCACTCTCTCCATCATATCTTCTCTCATCACTCTCTCCATCATATCTTCTCTCATCACTCTCTCCATCATATCTTCTCTCATCACTCTCTCCATCGCTTCTTCTCTCATCACTCTCTCCATCATATCTTCTCTCATCACTCTCTCCATCATATCTTCTCTCATTACTCTCTCCATCATATCTTCTCTCATCACTCTCTTCATCATATCTTGTCTCATCACTCTCTCCATCATATCTTCTCTCATCACTCTCTCCATCATATCTTCTCTCGTCACTCTCTCCATCACATCTTCTCTCATCACTCTCTCCATCACATCTTCTCTCATCACTCTCTCCATCATATCTTCTCTCATCACTCTCTCCATCATATCTTCTCTCATCACTCTCTCCATCATATCTTCTCTCATCACTCTCTCCATCACATCTTCTCTCATCACTCTCTCCATCATATCTTCTCTCATCACTCTCTCCATCATATCTTCTCTCATCACTCTCTCCATCATATCTTCTCTCATCACTCTCTCCATCATATCTTCTCTCATCACTCTCTCCATCATATCTTC